ATTATTTGTTGAAAAAAAAAATATTTGAGAAGGGGTGGATGATTGCCAATAATCATCAGACAAATATATCTTTTTCTGATGGGTGTCGCGGTACAAATCATCAAGTCGGACGGCTTTGGGATAAATTTGATACGAAATAAAAAATAAGAAAAATACGATATATTATATATATAGATATTTTCTTTTTGTATGTCATTATCAGAAGGCAATGGTATGTATTTATTATATATAAGAAAATATATATCTTTTGGAAATTGGAAGGAGATATTTTACATTAATGACGGGGAAAAATCGTCTGAATTCAAATAGTGGAATACCGCGCGCGCAAGAAGATCTTCTCTATAAAAAGCGTTGTCGCGCGCGCGGGGCATGCATTTGGAAAGAAAAAAGTAGGTATTTGTTTCTTTGAAATTTGCAATGCATATTCCTATACCTCGATCAACGACATTCATTAATTTAAAAGAATAAATGGGCATCTTAATCGATATACGGTCATTTAATCCCATAAGACAGAAAGAAATGTCCAGCGAGAAAGCCCAAAATATTATAGTGTAATATACAAGGAGCGGAAAATAGCCTTTAAAAACATAAATAAATAAATCATCAAAAGAAACAACGAAACAAATAATCTTCCGACCCGAGATTCTTTTAAAATTAAATATATATAAAAAATAAATTCGATATTGCCGACAAAAAACCAACGACATAAATCAATAATATATAGAATTAAGAATTTTTTTTTATATACATCTTTTTCATCTATCTATATCGATAATTCAAACTAGACGACGGTTGGCCCGAGAGCGAGACATGTAATTGTCCAGCACTGTCGAAAAGATGTATAGAAAGAAAGAAAGAGAGGATGGATGTGAAGGAATGACAGTGTGATGTGCAGGTGCGATATAGATTTGTAGATGTATGGAAGTGGAGAGATAGATCTGTGGATATGAGTGTGCGAAGATGTAAATGCACAGAAACGAGAGAAAAGATATGTAGAAAGAAAGAAAGACAGGACAGATGTGAAGGAGCGACAATGTGGATATACAGGTGTAATATAAATGTGCGGCTGTATGGGTGTGGTGAGGTGACTGAGGTGGAGAGGTAGATCTGCGGATGTGAGCGTGTGAAGATGTAAATGTAAAGAGGTGAGGAGGTGTAGACGTAAATGCGTCGATGCAACGGCAATGCAACGTCAACCATAGTCGTGCGAATATAACGCTAAAGAAATTCAACTAGAATCAGGGCGACCTGAGAGTAAACGACGTCACGATCATAACAAGCGATTCGTGTATTCCAAGTGAACATCGTTTGTCATAAAGGTGAAATATACACATACTAACGTCACGATAAATCTTTTGTGGCAGCCACTTATGAGTAAGCAAAGTAGCTAAAATTTGTCAACCTCTCAAGCGAGCCGGGTGGTCGGGAGACATGATTCAGTTGCAGGGGCGCCAAAGTAGTCGCGAGAGATGATTCATCCGCGTACTCAAGTTGTACTATAAAATCGTCAATTCTCAACTTCCAGCTCCACTGCTTGCTCCGCAAACTAAAGTTGTATTACAAAGTCGCCAGTTCTCATCTTCCAATTCCCCAGATATTCCGTGTACTAAAGTTGTATTACAAAGTCGCCAATTCTTATCTTCCAGCTCCCCAAATACTCCGCGTACTAAAGTTGTAGTACAAAATCGCCAGTTCTCAGCTTCCAGCTCCACAGATGCTCCGCGTACTAAAATAATATAAAGTCGTCAGTTCTCAGCTTCCAGCTCCACAGCTTACTCCGCGTACTAAAGTTGTACTACAAAATCGCCAATTCTCATCTTCCAATTCCCCAGATATTCCGCGTACTAAAGTTATACTACAAAATCGCCAATTCTCAGCTTCCAACTGCACAGATTATTCCGCGTACTAAAAGTTGTACTACAAAATCGCCAATTCTCATCTTCCAATTCCCCAGATATTCCGCGTATTAAAGTTATACTACAAAATCGCCAATTCTCAGCTTCCAACTGCACAGATTATTCCGCGTACTAAAGTTGTACTATAAAGTCGCCAACTCTCATCTTCCAACTCCCCCAGAGACTCCGCGTACTAAAGTTACTCTAGAAAGTCGCCAGTTTTTATCTTCCAGTTCGCCAGATATTCTGCGTACTCAAATTGTATTACAAAGTCGTCAATTCTCAGCTTCCAGCTCCACAGCTTACTCCGCGTATTAAAAATATACTACTACGTCGCCAATTCTCATTCCAACTCCCCAAATACTCCGCGTACTAAAGTTGTACTAGAAAGTCGCCAGTTCTCAGCTCCACAGATGCTCCGCGTACTAAAGTTATACTACACTAGACGACGAGTGGCCCGAAAGCATTTTTTCATCACGTAGGAAGTCAGAGTGCGAGTTATCTGTTAAGTGTGAAGTGTTAAGTCGAGTGAGTTGAGGTAGTGTGTGGGTCTCTGTGTGTGTATCTATGTCCGTGTGTATATGAGTCTCTGTCTGTGTGTGTCCGAGTAAGTTGAGGCAGTGCACTTCCAGCTCCACAGATTGCTCCGCGTACTACTACCAAGTCGCCAGTTGTACTACCAAGTCATTGCACTACCAAGTCGCCAGTTCTCAGCTTCCAGCTCCCCAGCTACTCCGCGTACTACAGTTGTACTACCAGGTCGCCAGTTCTCATCTTCCAGCTCCCCGGCTACTCCGCGTACTACAGTTGAACTACAAAGTCACCAGTTCTCATCTTCCAACTCGCCAGATACTCCGCGTACTAAAGTTGTACTACAAAGTCGCCAGTTCTCATCTTCCCACTCCCCAACTACTCCGCGTACTAACGGTGTACTACAAAGTCACCAGTTCTCATCTTCCAACTCACCAGATACTCCGCGCACTAAAGTTGCACTACAAAGTCGCCAGTTCTCAGCTTCCAGCTCCACAGATGGCCCCGCGTACTAAAGTTGTACTAGAAACTCGCCAGTTCTCAGCTTCCAGCTCCCCAGCTACTCCTCGCTCCACAGTTGTACTACGAAGTCGCCAGTTCTCATCTTCCAGCTCCCCAGCTACTCCGCGTACTAAAGTTGTATTCCAAAGTCGCCAGTTCTCAGCTTCCAGCTCCCCAGCTACTCCACGCTCTACAGTTGTACTACAAAGTCGCCAGTTCTCATCTTCCAGCTCCCCAGGTAGTCCGCGCACTAAAGTTGTACTACAAAGTCACCAGTTCTCATCTTCCAATTCGCCAGATACTCCGCGCACTAAAGTTGTACTACAAAGTCGCCTGCGCTTCCCGCCCGACACGCCCGATCTCCGCAGAGGGTCGCGCGCGTACAGACTCACTCGCACTCTCGCCTACATTTCGCGCACTCGACACGCACGATCTCCGCAGAGGGTTGCGCGGGCAGCCGACAAATCGCACTCTCGCCTGTATTTCGCGGACTCGACACGCACGATCTCCGAAGAGGGTTGCGCGGGCACCGGACAAATCGCACTCTCACCTGCATTTCGCGCACTCGACACGCACGATCTCCGCAGAGGGTTGCGCGCGGACCGCACCAATCGCACTCTCGCCTGCATTTCTTTCACTCGACACGCACGATCTCCGCAGAGGGTTGCGCGGGCAACCGGCAAAGCGCACTCTCGCCTGCATTTCGTTCACTCGACACGCGCGATCTCCGCAGAGGGGTGCATTTTCGGTTGATGCTATTCGTCCCACCCTCCACCTTTAAGAGAGAATTTATAAAATGGGGAAATATTTTTCATTCGGATATCTCCCGTGCTAATTTTCCATGCTCACACTTGCATACTCATTGCATGCTTGCATACTCATCATTGCACTTGGCATCATTACATACTTTGACACTTACATACTTTGCACTTGGATGCTTTTGCTCTACCACTTACACTAGGATACGTATAGCGTTCATGTTGTAGTGCAAGTGTGGAAATGTCAGTGTGTAAGTGTAAGTGTCGAAGTATCAGTGTATTTTCCGGAAGAATCCTTCGCAATGTTTTCGGGAAAAATCATCACTTCTCAATTTCCAGCTCTATGGAGCAATCTGCCGAAGCTACAAGCTAAGAATTGGCGACTTTGTAATACAACTTAAGTACGCGGAATATTTAATGAGCTAGAAAATGAGAATTGGCGATTTTCTAATACAACTTTAGCACGTAAAATAATTTATGAAGCTGCAAGCAAAGAATCGACTGCATTCACACACACAATATCCGTAGAAATTTGCGCCGGACCGAACCAAAACGCACGCTCATCTACATTTCGCTCACTCGACACGCACGATCTCCGCAAAAGGTTGCATTTCGCACCGCTCCGACGATACCATTCCCGGTTTCAAAAAGAAAATTAAAAAAACAAATAAAAAAAATAATAAATTAAAAATATAAAATTATAAAAATAAATAAAATAATACAAATATGTAAAAATATAAACATAAATATATACAATTAAAATTAAACAAAGATATAAATATGCAAATATAAAAAAACAAAAATATAAATATATAAACATAAATATAAACATACAGAAATAACAATATAAAATATAAATAATACGTAATTTTATAAATATTTTTTTACGAACAACCTTCGCAAACGCTCTCGAAAAAAATATTCAAAATATCAAAAAAATATCAATTATATATATTAACAAATAAATATTATATATAAATATAAAATCAAATATATAAATATTCCAATCGAAATTCATAATTTTTATAATTAAGAAAATAACTAAGAAATAACGCACATAAAACCATCAAATATTTAAATACTCTAATTCCGAAGATCATAAAATCGTCGACACATATACAATTATGCGAACAATTCAAGATTAATCGAACATTTTTCGAGATATTAACATTTGCCACATCGCGCGTACGCCGGATAAAGCCAATTCGTAATTTTGATTATAATATTGATACAATCATTTCATACAATAGATTCCTGATATATTAATTGTAGTTTGTATAATGTAATATATTACAATAAATACATATTTTTGATTATTTTTGACACCCCGTGGATAAGTAATTTCGTCTTTGGCTTGCAACAAAATGGTTGGTGTTCATTTTTGCCAAAGGAATCCCCTTACAATAAATTAAGTTTGGACTCATCTCAAAACCATCTCAATACTTAAGGCGATAATCGGCAAACAACATCTGGTCCTGCAGCCAAAGCCTGCCAAGATGCCAAGATCCCAACTTGAAATAACTTGAATGGACCGTGGAATTCGACACTGCAGGCTCCACTTCGCACACACCTTGCCTGTAGGCCTGTGCGGACCTTCTCCTTGATGGCTTTGTTCTCTCTCCGGAGCCGCTCCACCTGCGATTTAGCGGTACAATGACAATGTACAGCACAGCTTGAGTGTCATCTTGCAAAGGTTTTCAATGATCCCGTCGCAGGGCTACTGCGGCTACTGTTGACTGACAAGGTGGGGATGCTGAGTGATTCCCTCTTTGGAAATGGTGTTGTGCAGGATATGACTGCGCCAAAAGACTCTACAACTCCTCCACACCTCGATACAACATACACGCGCGAGTAGGCATACGTGGCAACACACATCAACACACATACATATGTTCGCTGTATACGTACGACATCATACGACTGCACTCTACTACACAACATGACATGTGACGCGGGTCCCTTCATTCACATTCGCAACACCGCACGAGATTCTCAATCAAGATCGATCAACCTTGCTAGTGTTGGGCGGCCTTCGATTCAAGTTCATCTCGCTCGTGGCCCAGCTCAGCTTGCCACTGCAAGCGGAGGGCCTCCGGTCTTATTGCGGATGAGATTCTCATGGTCAGAAGTTGAGCGTCGGTCATTGGTCCAAACCTGAACCTCTTTTCCTCGCAGTGTACTGAATATGGAAAGTCATGGAAAACTCAATGGCTTGATTTTCAAAGGCCGACGCTGAAAGCCAAACTTGAAAGCTAAAGGTTGTCACAAGGTTTCTCTGATTAAGATTTGCAACGATGACGATGGGGGCCACCATCCAATACCTATCAGACCATATCACACCTTTTTACCTGCCATTGCCTTCTTGTTCTCCGCCTTCTCAAACCGACTAGTACAGTAGTCCCCTGAGGCACCTCCTGTGCTCGGAGCATCTCGGCCGCTCGCACTTCTTCCTCGCCGAAACCAGTGCACGCGTTGCAACGGTTCTATCTTTGCGGAATCGGTTGCCAACTGAATTGAACCTGGCTATAGACACAATGCAACCTGCTTTGGCGAGCACACTGAGTAACTCATAGTAACTCAAAAATATGAGAACCACAGGTGAAGAGACGCAAATGGTTGCAGGGACCTCATCTCTATCTCACATCTCAAGCTTTCCAAGCAGCCTGCTGCGCTCGAGAGGTCATGGCCTAGCAGCTATTTCAGGTGCAGGTGACCATTTTTTCGCATCCATGAACCACAGCTTTTGCGGGCGTTGGCCGACTGCCCGCGACGTCTTCGGATGAGCGCCTTCAGCTGCCGCTGGAGCCGTCGGCATTCCGAGTCGGCGTGGCGCTTGGCCGTCTCAACGTTGCTGGTTGCCCTCTGCGGAAGATGCGGACAGTCAGGTGATTCTTGGGCTGAAACTCCGTGAGATGATTGAATATTATTGGTATTTTCAGCACGTATGCAACAACCATGTCGGGTTTGTGCTTGTGGAAAGCATTTTCTTTGATCAAGCCCTATAACTGCTATAGCTGGAAGTCCTGAGTAGAACTGCTGGAATGAGGCAAAAACAATGGATACAAATAAACGTGCTTACAGTAGATAGGACCGACGTGGGGGCACCATGGGGAAATAAATCACATAAGAACATAGTGCCTGCACGATCCTAAGAAGGTTTAAAAGAAAAGAACATGAGAGAAACAGAACCGACGGCTAAGCCATGCTAAGCCAATAGATAACCTGCCCTGAATCTCATGATTCAACAATGATCTGGCAAAACCCCAATGACTTTGTATTCTTAAATCACCCGCTTTTGAGAAGCATCTGATCAAAACTGTCTCGCTTCAGGTCCGTCCTAAGACGCTCTTCCTGCAGGTCTGCTTGAGCCTTTGAGCAGGTCTCCTTCCAAGAGTGGTGAGGAACCAGCAGTGCTTCGGCTTCTGTGATGGCTCTTCGCAACTATTTGAGGAACCAGGTTGCCAACCGTGAACAGATTGTTCTAGCAAAGTGTCGGCCCATTGGCTCACGAAACAGCATCAACAAATGGGGCTTCAGGATGGTTCAGGTGCGATTCGCAAACCCGCTCAGGAGGGCGAACTTCAAAGAAACCCTTCCAAAATGGTCAGCGTATCATCAGGTACGGTATTTCAAGATCGCACTGATTGCACATGTTCATAATTTCACAACAAAAATTCCGAGCAATCAAAGGCTTCCTTGCAAATTAAAGTTACCTTCACATATTAGAGGTTAGTGAGCCGCCTTTTGAAGATTCGGAGAATTACACCTGTCCTGGAGAAGAAAACGCAAACACAAACACACCCTGGTCCTTAGAACCCGTGAGGAAAAACGCAAACCCATCAATGCCTCTCCTCGCAAGTGCGAGCCTTCTCCTTTGCAGCCCTTAGATCATCTTGAACCTCCCGAGCTACACTGATGCAACTTGCCCACCTTACGCGGTGCGTTGTATCTGGTCTTGAACTCTCTTCCTGGTACCTAAGTCTTGCTGAGGAGACCTACCTCAATCCTGCCTCTAGTGCAAGTTCATGTAGCACAGCTGCACGTATAAGTTTAAACTAGTTTAAGTGACATGGCCGTATGTCAAAACTGCGGTACGCCGATTGACTCCCAAGAATCAATTGCATATCGTTTTGGGGTTCTAGGTTGAATGAATTCCGATCCATCAACCTTGGGTAACAAAACGCTACTAGTAACAAGGGCATCGCTACTAGTAACTAGTAGCAAACAGCTACTAGTAACAAGAACGCTACTAGTAGCAAAGGCAAATCCCGTGCCCACCCATCTGGCCCGTCCTGATTCAAGTTCTGCTCTGCAGCTTGGAGCTGTGAGCGCAGGCTTGCCTCTCCGCATGCGAGGTGAGCGTACGCGTGCCCGTTCCGCCTGTGGAACCGCGCGTTCCCCTTTTCTGATGGCCTGAAAGATCGGAGATCCTGTGCAATGTCCACAACTGAGGTTGTTTTCTTTAGCCCGCTCCCCCTCCCTACTGAATTAAGTAGGCGCCTAGTTAATTAAGTAATGGAGAGGTAGCCAGTACCCGACTTTAAGCTACTAGCAGGATAGCGCTCGCACCAATAATTTGGTTTCTAGATTTTTAGGGAAACTTAAGTTCCTTTTAGTGCTTAATTAAGTAGGCGCCTACTTAATAGAAACTATCACTTTTGTTAGATCTCCCTTGCTACTACCGGTGAGGGTGAAACACTTGATTTTATGAAAATCCGGGGAAATACCGGTGTCAGGTTTACAACATACTGAGGCAAAATTTGTGTTTTGGAGGTTGCCCGGAAAATTGACAATTTCTACTTATAACATCTTGAAGGCTTGAACATAAAATGCTATAGAATCCTGTAAAATCTTTGTGATTATGTTTCTCCCTGTGTTGAGGTGAACCTTACAACCATGTTGTTTTTTTGCCTAGGTCTTGATCCTTCATAATATAATGTCTCCCTGGTTTGGTCACAGGCAAGAACAAACTTTGTTTCGGAGGGGGAACTAGGCAAGCTTCAGTGACGATGATGTGGAGATATGTGGAGTATGTGCACTTCAAGAAACTGGTGAAAGTCCTGAAGGAAACACAATCCCTAGGGCCCTAGGGAGCAACTGCTAACCAAAAAACCCTACGTGAATTATATAACCCAATCTATAGAAGGGCCTTTAAGGATCTTTGTATGTGAACTCACCCACCTCAAACATATTTTACTCGTACAATACTTCGGCCTAGACAAATATCCGACAAACACTTGAAGCTTTGAATCAACAAAAATATGTCTGGCTGCCGTCTGTGCCGTGTCTGTGGCCTGTTCTGCTGCAGCACGAGAACTTTGCTCTTTGGCATCTGCGCAGCTCGTGTCGAGCTTGCCTTGTAGTCTTGCCTCGAAACAGGGACACCACTGAATCCAAAAATCTCGGCAGTATCTGCAAACATCAAATGTCTTCAAACATATGTAGGTTGCAAATGGCTGCAAATGGCCTGTCACTTTCACAGCTCAACAAGCAAATAACAAGGGACACAAATGGAACAATTCACGTCAGGGTTTTCAAGCATTGCATCGACTGTTCACAGCCTGTTGGCTATCTATTCAGATTTGGCGTGTAGACCTAAATACAGTATCCTTCAGGACAGTGTACACCCGGGGGTCTTACCGCTTGCTGCTGCAGCTCTGTGACCTGTCGATCTAGCCGAAGTCGCGCCTGCAACAAACGGGAGAATCCAGAGCCAATCTGGCTTCCATCTATTTTGGTCGACCAACAGCGTTATGTTCAATTGGGTGGATGTTCGCACCATATGCCTCAGAACACGCAACAGCCAAGCGGTACCTAGCTAACAGCTCTGAGATCGCATCTTTGCACCCTGCCCCCGCCTGCTGAGCCTCCTCACAGTCTGCTCGAAGATGCTCAATCTCCTGGGCAGAGGCTGTGCCAAGCCTAGTCAATGTTGCTTGGCATCAACAACCACTATGATAATTCTTCCTCGCGAGGACTCTAGAAAACATGTTGATGCCAAGCTTCTTCACGGTGTGATGCGCTTTGCCTCTCCAAAGCAGAGGCCTCATAACCGTGCAAACAGCACTCTGCGTTCTGTTGTCAATTGTTGTCGGCTTGCCCTTGCCACCTGGAACCAAGCTACTGTAATTACAGCTACCCCTGTCCAATGGCACTGCCGCTCGGACATTCATTTCGGACGAGGGAGTTCCAGGTGGAGGACTATATATAGAGGTTTCTAAGTCTGATTCTACGTGAGTCTCTAAGACTACAAATGGAAAAGGCACCCTGTATCAACTTGTATCTCAGCTGCCTCCCACTCTCGTTGTTTCTCGTAGAGGCCCACCTGGAAACACACCAAGATTCGCTGACGGTGGGAGGTTGAAGCAAGGTATCTGGACGGCTGCAGCTCACCCCTAGATATGACCAGTCTTCACACAAATCTCAGACATGCTCAAAGTCTTGAATATGATTCTAGTCCTTTCCTCAAGCCCAGCCCTTTCCACAACGCCTTTGTTGCGTTTCCGTGCAACCTTTGAAGCTTTCAACCATGAAGTTTTGCTTGTCATTTTCTTGGGCACTGCATCATCTTTGTCAATTTGTTGCAGGTTTCTGTTTGCAGCGGCATTGACCGCACTGAATTGATTGCGGAATCATTCTTGGAAAGCCAAGGCCCCCCCCCCAAAAGCCTAGCTTTGGACACACCAGAGCTTCCAAAGTCGATGCAAAATACAGTATAGAAGAGGTGGAATGCAAAAGCACATCACAAACCTATAGGCCTCCAACCTACTAGCAATGGCCTCCAACCTCAAGTAATAGCAATGGCCTCCAACCTACTAGCAATGGCCTCCAACCTACTAGCA